TATATGGTATCTATGGCATAAGGGGAAAAATAAATTTGGTCCACAACTTTGTTTTATAATTAAAATGAACTGAATGTTCCTTTTCTTTAAAAAAAAAAAAAAATGTCATTGAGAATCTCATACCTACTTCTTTAAGTACTTATCTTCATTTTAAGATTGCTTCACTATTTTGTGGGAGTGAATATAGCTTCCAATGAGATTTTAAGTTCTCTGATATTTCATAATTTCTTTTTGTGAGGGGGTCTTACACATCTTTTATTAGATTTTTTTTTCATCTTTGATTTTTAAAATACTACTGTGAATGGTGTCTTTAAATGTTTTCACTATTTAGCATTATGTAGCTTTTATAAAGAAATATATTAGATCTTTTAGATTTGCTTTGTTCTAAGGGTCCAGAATTCTTTTAATTTTAGTTGTGAATTCTACTGATTTATTAGTTTATTTTGAAATTTCCACAAGCACAATTATGCCGTCTATAAATAATGTCAGCTTAATTTCTTCTTTTTTTACTTCCCAAATAATTTATTTTTATATTATGTCTGGCCTTATTACTCTGACTGAAAGATCCATTTAGAGAGAAATAGTAAACTGTTACATAATTTCTGATCTCAAAGAAATGCTTTTAGCATTTTATCACTGAATATGTTAATGTTTATCATAATCCTCTTTAATCCTTAGTTTACCAATAAATTTTATCATGATTAAAAAAATTATTATTTTAATGTTATAAAATGTATATATATGTTTTATTTTCTCATGTTTAAGCAAACTTAATTTCTGGAATAAAACCAGTTTGGTCTTTGCTGGATTTAGCTTTGTAATATTTTGCTTAGAGGTTTTGCATCTCTGTCAATGAAAGACTTTGGTCACTGTCTTAGGATGGTGTCTTAGTTCTCTAGTGGTGCTATAACAGAAATATCACAAGTGTATGGCTTTAGCAAACAGAAATTAATCCTCTCACAGTTTTCGAGGCTAGAAGTTCAAATTCAAAGTGTTGGTTTTGGGGAAAGGTCCTCGTCTCCTTCTAGCATTTCTAGGTCCAGTATTTCTTGGAGATCTCTATGTGTCTTGGCATCAATTTCCTCCTGACTCTGGGAGCTTCACAGTTTAGAGACCCCAGGTCCAAATGGTACTGTACACCACACCTGGCTCTTCTTTTTGGTGGTAGTAGATCTCTTGTTCTCTGATCACTTAGCTTCTTTTACATCTTAGAACAAATTAATTAAAATATAACCTAATCTTGTATACTACATCCAACCTAATTAATATTGTGTATGTGTGTTAGGTGCCATTGAGTCAATACTGACTCATAGCACAACAGAATGGAACACTACCAGGTCCTGCACCAATATCACAATTGTTGCTATATCATAGAAGTGAGTATTTACAACACAAAGATAATTAGATCAGAGCTGATCTTATAAGATTGCATCATGGGGATGATTGTGTCATATTAAATTTCATCATGGAGGTAAAAACTACATCTTAACTGCTAAACCACTGAGAATCCTGTCCCAGCATTTTACCTTGTTGGGGGCTTTTTCTTTCCCTTCATTACCTGGGAAGAGACAGCAATTGTGGTAATATAGCCAAGCTACAATCACACCTTATAAAAACCCACCATCCTGGAAAGAGTCAATACCAGCTGCTATACACCACATAGACAGCCAACACTTGCTACAGTTACTCTAAGTTGAGTAAAAAGAAAAGTGAACAGGAAAGTCCATCTGCAGATCACATCTACCTGGAAGCAATCAGAAAGCTAATAATACATCAACATGTTGTTGTTGTTGTTGTCAGGTGCCATCGAGTCGGAACCGACTCATAGCGACCCCATGCACAGC